GGTGTTATTCAATCACTTTCGTCCTTTCATCAAAGAAAGGAAGGCAGACTCCGGAAGGATGAAGCACTCTTGCCTCAAATATTAAACATAAATAACTTTGTACTTGGTGGCCAAGGGACTGAGTTTGTATTCTGACTCTGTCACTTTCCAGACAAGCGACTGTAGGCAAATTATATGACTCTCCCAGTCTCATTTCATACATACATAATATGCTTACATTGATATCACCTGTGATACTATTCTGAAGATCAATTCGCTCATGGCATGAAATCTTCTAGCATCTCGAGTCATGTCTGGTACATAGTATGTGCTGAATAAATATTCACTATTGAAAAAAATTAAGTATTCAGTTAAGATATATTTATATACATTGCCATAATCACTAGCAAAAACTGGAAATTGACATAACCTCCTTGGTCCTACTAAATTTCTGAAAAGATGATATTTTTCTCAAGAATCTTGTGAGAATGTCTAGTAAGCAAGCTTCATATTGTAAATATAATCACAGTCATTCTTGTTGTTATCCTGGGTAGCATTTGTTGAAATTTGCTATGTGCCAAGCACCATGCTAAGGGTTTCACCAGTACAGCTAATGTAATCTTCACAATAACACTAGATTATTCTCCTCATTTTGCAGATGGGACACCAAAGCTAAAAGAAGTTAATGTTTACAAAGTTTGCCAGCTGTTAGTGGTGCAGCTCAGAACAAGAACACAGACATTCAAGTCCAGAGCCATGCTCCTGGGAAGGGGCAAGAGTTTGGGCAACAAACTCTTGGGCAACAAGGCCTGGGTTTAAGAACCAGCCCTGCCCTTTACAAATGAGAAAATACTGACCTACCTTCTCACAATCTAAATGATCATACTGATAAAAATGAATCCTGCCTCACAAGATTATAATGAGAATCAAAAAATTCATTTTAGCTTACTCCCTCTGAATTTAGTGAGAATAGAATCATGCCCAACTAATATTTAAATCCAGAGCACCTGGCATATAATAGATCCTTAGGAAATCCTATTAGATAAATTACCAAATCCCTGAGTTGCTTTCTATCTATAAATCAGCTTACAAATTTCAATTGTCATCATCATCATTGACAGTTTTGCCATAAATTGGCCAAGAACCTCCAGATTATGAAATCTAAGTGATTCCAAAATTCTCCCAATGAACTCGGACTCTTTTCCCATGCAAAAGTGAGTAAGCATGGTACCACTTATGAAATCCTGATCTAGACCTTATATTAGAAGACAAATAGCTGGTCACTCTAATTATCAGCAGATGATTTCAGAAATGGACATTTTTTTCAAGGAAAAAGTTGAGAAATCATTAGAAAAACATTCAAAATGTGGTCCACAGCAGGGACCCAGCATGAGGCTTGAAGCAAACAGTGAACTCTTTAGAAGCCTACTTTGTGTTCCTGAGGTCAGAGGAGCAGACAGGAAGCATATTGCGGTGCTGAGTCACCGCGGGAGCCAAAAGTACTCATTCAGACATCTTCAGTTTGGCAGGAAAAACAGATTATAATAAAAAATGAAAAAAGGGATATTGGCCATAACATAAACATTACAACCATGGGCCATATCAGATATGGCATCTCAGTTATTTATAATAATAGCTCATTTGCAAAGCATTACTTCTCAAATGTGTCCTATTCTGAAATGAGGTATCAGATGTCTCCTATTGCTGTCAGCTGAGGCAGGGTCTCTGCAGAACTGGCAGTCACCCACTTTGATGTTGTACTAAGTACCCCCTAATTGGCAAATGTAAAAATGTCCCAGCCCCTGACCACTGTGCTTCTGTGATCTGAATATGCCAAACAAGACAAAGACTGAAAAAACAGGAGTTCAAATCTCAGGCCTTCAGAAGCAATATGGCATATGGTTTCACTTCTAAAATCATCAGTATCAATCAATTCTTGCACTTGAAAATTATCTTCATGCCTTAAAGAAACAATTTAAGGTGACTGTCCTCCTAATTCAATAGCATAGATAGAATTCTAGGTTTCATCTTTCTCATTATATAGTTACTTTGTGTATATTTCCAGCTTACTATTTAGTTCTCATAATTATTATGTAAGAGGTTATGTTATAAATATTATATAATGGATTTGCTATAATTTATCTAATTGTTCTCTTATTTGGAAATTTAGGTTATCAATGATTTTTCTTTTTTTAATATTTTTTAGTTGTAGAGGGCCACACAGTATGTTTGTTCATAATTTATTTTTTTATTAGTTACACACAACAGTACAATGATCTTGACATATCATACATTTGAATCAGATGGGATATAATTTCTCATTTTTCTGAGTGTACAGGTTGCAGAATCACATTGGTTATACATACAGCAATACTAGTGTCTATTTTATTCTGCTGTCCTTCCTATCCCCCCTTCTCCTCCCCTTCCCTCCATCACAAGGAAATTTTCACTAAAATCCTCACATTTTCACTGTCTGATAACCAATGTCCCTGAATCTAGTTCAGTGGATTTGTAGATGGAGTACAAAAAAAAAAAAAAAGAAAAAGAAACCACGGAGTTGGCCCAACCTTCTCAAGCTGATGGAAGAGAATGGAACAGGGCATTACACTAGAAGCAGGAGTTGGACAGTTTCTGATGCTTCTGAATCTTCTTAGGAAGCACCAATAATAGCAGACATTTGAAGGGAGATGCTAACGAGAAGAGGAAAACTGAAGGTGACACATGATAGCTGGAGGATTAGTTCCTGAGAATTCAAGAACGAGTTAGGAGGGACTTGAAGAGGACTGGAATTTTGGCAGAACTACTAGAGGTGGAAAGTACAGAAATATTGCCTGGTTACTGTAGCGTGACCTGATGACCACCTTGGCTGGTCTTGCCCATAGACACATAAGATTTGTCTCTGTGAGTTTGGGGGGGGGGGGGAACGACTGAATAAAATGTAAACAGAACATATAAAAATTAAAACATGTAAGATGGCAAAAAAAAAAAAAGAAAAAGAAAATTATCTTCATGCTATGACACTGAACACAAAATAGGGGAAAGTAGACGGTTTAAAAGTTTTATCTGGATTGGAAACTCCTTTTGACCTAAACCTGAAATACCACTTGTTCTAAGCAAGGATAATTCATTTACTGCTAGTCTCTTCTTTCCTAGGAATAACTGCAGTATACATTAGTGAGAGGGAACATGCTGGAGGAGAGATGACTAGCCTAGCAATCAGGACCCTGAAGTTCATGCTCTATGCACTTTAGAATAGTGTGCCTCATTTAATACCCTTGTTACTAACATCACTTTGTAGACAAGAAAATTGGCCTGTAAGAGGTCAGCTGTTAGATGCAGAGCAAAGAACAGAGGTGTGGAGTGAGAAAACATGGGTCACCATCCCACCACATACCAGCTGTGTGGTCTCTAGCTTAGCATTTATGTAAAATGTACCCTGGCACATCATCTGAATATGAACTCTACATCTATCAGGACTCCAGATCATTCTTTCCTCATGTTCAAACACATAAAATTCTCAAGTGTCAAGGCTATAATACAAATTCAGACACATTGATTTAAAAGTCCATAAATAATCTTCCTTATTTCTGCAAAGGAGGTGACAAGGTATGCCCTAAGCAAGAAGGTGGCTCTAAGAGGATAACAAGAACAGAAAAGCAGAGGGTGCTCATAGGTCTGCCCTGGCTCTTCCCACTGACCTCCAAGGATCTTGTTAGAACAGCCTGCAAAATGCAACTTACCAAGCAAGTCATCTTTCACGTCCCGTTTTGCTGACTAAAATTTTGTCAAGGCACTGAATGCAGAATAACAATACTTCATAGAGGTTGGATGGAGGCGATTTCTCACTCCCTCTGATAAATAATCTTAAGCAATTATGTAAGTTACTTCATAGAGATCCACATTACAAAACATGCCATCTCTGGGAAAAAAATAAATAAAGTAACACCTACTAATACTGAGGGGGCAAAGTGTGTCTGTAAAATGTGAAAATTTTGATGTATTTGCTTCCAGTATCCTTTGTGCTATTTATATAGCACATATAAATATGAAATTGGAACCACACCATCTGGGCAGCTTTGAATTCTGCCTTTCTAAGTTAACTTAAATGCTAATAAAATTTGATAGTGACATCGTTCCTAACTCTGATTCCCCATTGTTGGATGTGCTTTTTGTTTTCCATTTTAATTCAATACCACAATGAGCATCCTTGGATATAAATTTAGCAAAGCTGTTTTCAAGATTCAAGATTATGTTCTAGGTACACTTAGGGCATGTTGTGATTGTTTACTGTGTCAAATATTGTGCTATGTTTTGAAAGCATTAGTTTCAAAATCCTATGAAGTATCTATAACTAATATACTCTTTTACAAATGAGAAAATTGAGCAGAAAAGAAATTAAATAACTTGCCCAAATATTTACAGCAGTAAAAGCCAGGATCTGAACACACCCAGTCTCCTCCAAAGCCTGGACTTTCACTACAAACATTGCCAGACTTGCTATGTCTCCTAATGTTTGCCCTACATTCTTCTTCCCACTGAAGAGGAGATTGCCTTCATGTACAGGATGCTCCCAGTTAGAAAGTCCAATAGGGGCAACTTGAAAAGACTTCAGAATCTGGAATTGCCACTGGGTTGTTCTGGGACCAGGATGTCATGTAATTATCTAGCCTGTGATATGCCCTAAAGTCCCCTCCTGTGTCCATCCTGCACAGCAGAAAGGACATTTATTTCAAAATACTTGACAATACACAAACTAAGAAAGCCATACCGAAGTCTCCTATCCATCCACCCCTACCCAGAAATTGATTTTTATATTGTTGCTCAGAATATGTATCTTTCTTTACCACATTTATCCTCCTCCCAATTTTATGCATACTGACCTTCCTATCATCAAATGTATCATAAAGTTGACCTATGAAGAATAAGCCAATTGGTGAAACACATAAAGAGTTTTATAGAACAGTTTTTTCAGCAGGGTGGGGGGTAGTTACAAAAACTGTGCTGGGCACAGTGGTGCTCACCTGTAATCTCAGTGACTGGGGAGGCTGAGGCAGGAGGATTACAAATTCAAGGTCAGCCTCAGAAACTTAACAAGACACTGTCTCAAAAAAAAAAAAAAAAAAAAAAAAAGAGGCAAACCATTAGTAACACCCAACTTCATTTTAAAGTTGACACCATTTGTTCTGTACTCATGTATGCAGAAAAATGAAAACAAAATATGGTAGAGGGGGTTCCCCCAAGAGCAACTTTTACAGCCCTAGAAACCAAGGGCAGGACATGTAGAATGAACCATCCATAAGGGGTTTTAATAGGAGTGGGCCATGGAGTTGAGAGTCAGCATGTAGCCCCCGTGAGGGGAGACGGGCTTGGTGCAAAGGCTGTGCCTGGCTGTAATGGGATCCAGTGAATAAGGGAAAACTTAAGATGACTATCAGAGATAACTTCCTGGCGGAGAGAGCTGTTGGGATTAGAGAATGGCCTCCCCAGGGACAGGCGGGAAGCTCCCTCCCTCAGGACACTGGAAACCAGACAGAGCACAACAGTAGCAACTGGGCTGAAGGAAGAAACCCAGCCCTAACAGAGGATGAATGGATAACCTGCAAGGCCTTTTCTATCTGGAGGTACTTGGATTACAGTAACCCAATCCTTCAGGGATGTAGGAAAAGTTGTAGGGGGTGGTTTGCTTTAAGTTTTTAAGTGAACTTAATTCAGACGGAAGGTGCTGGACTGACATCCTAAGAGACAAAAGCTCTCTATTCATCCATACAATGGATACAACACTGACCGAGATAGCTTTCCCCACCAGGCTTTACCCAATATGTCCCCAATCTAGGCATTAGCGTAGAAGGAAAAGCTGGATCCTTTTACCCCTTGACTTCTTGCTTCTCTTCGTAGCTTCACAGACAGCAAAGGGGGTGCTGGTTATAAAGATGGGCCTTCAGACTGAATACCTTGTTTCCCCTGCCCCACCCCTGACAGCTAAAGTGCTGCTTCAAAAGGACCACATAGAACTTTCTAAATATCCATATAGGTGGCATTAAAATGAAGCCAATCACTTTCAGAGGATGGTATGTGGCAGAAAACCTTCTTCTCTCATTCCCTTTCCTCCACAGACAGATGTAAAGAAGGATAGATGGATATGGATAGGAATCCTCAGCTTCTAGGACATTTTGATACAGCTTCCTTTTCCCTTCTTCTCTCCTTTATCTCCCATCTCCCTTTCATCTTTTCTCTCTAAGGAACAAGGTTCGTACTCCCTCAAGTATGCTTTAAACATGCCAGAATAGGAGATCTCTTTTATGGGAAGTTAGAATATAGATCTTCACCCACCAGATGTTGTGCCAATTAATTCAGATTTCTTGAGCACACTTATGCATCTCTCTGAGTTGCTGGTTTCTTATTTTCTTCACTTGAATTTTTGAATAAGTAACCTCAAAGTCCTGGAAAAGTTCTTCACATAAACCAAATATCCATCTGAGAGCCAGCTCTTTGATCTTTTTCTCAAAGTATGTGCAAATTTAGGTGTTTTCTGTATCGCTCCTCCACCCAAGCCCAACACTGATATGGTCATATAGCTGTCCATCCCACTGGAATATAAAGCTTTGGTCACACTAGGTCCCTGTGCAGAGATTTTCTTTTTCTTTTTTTTTTTTTTTTAATATTTTCTGGCCCCAAGACTCCAGAGGGTGTGAGAATGGAATGTATTTTCATTTAACACTGGGCATGTAGACTTTACCAGCTATGCCTCCCATCTACACAGATCCAAACCACAGAAAGTACAAACCTGTAATTCAGACAAAGGTGATATCAAGTTTGCCCTGAACTCAGGTATATTAGGCATTAAGTTAAAAAGAAAGAATCCAGTTTTGACTGCCCTTCATTTTCCACAGTGATTGTGAACAAAATTTCCTGCATGTTCTGACAATGGTTATATTCAATCACCTATTTCCTACAGAGGGTTTCTCTTACACTGCAAAAGATTTGAGTGAAATCAAGGCCTCTCTACTGGCCCACACTTCAGATAGCATCCCAGCTGATACTTGCCCACAGAGGTTGAAACTGGTTTTTCCCTCTATGTGAAGGTATCAAAAGAATATCTACTCAATAAGAAAAGCACTGAATTTGTCAGGAAGTAGTTGTTACCTTTGATTTCCTGCTCCTTCATTACAAACAAAAGCCTGCTATATAGTTACCTCCAACTGGCGTATGGTGTACATGAGAGACCACAGGGTAGGTGAGTAATGAATCCTGTGAGAATCTGAGTGACTTGACCCAAGACCCCATTCACTGGTGGGCAGACAACCTGGAGCCTGTACACACATCATGTTCACAGAGCAGTCTAACATATAATAAAAGGTGATTCCTATTATGGCTAATAAGAACACAGTGGTCCAACACATACAATGTCCAAAAGCAAGACATGGTTAAATGCAAGCAATGAGCCCCAGTGAATAATCACCCCCTATATCCATCAACTGCCCAAAGGTCTCCTGCTTCAGGACTCATGTGTCTCCACACCTGCACCAGCCGGCAGGAGACAGTTTCCTTAAAAAAAAAAAATACCTGACGTAAACTTGTAATATAGTACTCTCACAATAACCTCTCCATGGCCTCTGGAATGAATGTATCACTCTATCTGCAGATGCTTTTGCTTCAACTCGGCATCAGTGCATTGACTCCCTTGTACTTCCAACACTGACAGTGAACTATCTCTTCGTTAGTCCTTGAATCCTTGAACAGGGGAGCAGTTTGCCCAGAGTGTCTCTCCCAAACATTCTTGCCAGAGTGTAAAACAACAAGCTCAGTCTGTGCACTGTCACAAAACAACGTGGCGGTAGCCTTGTGTGTTTGCCCAGTCCTCTGATCATGGCTGACTGAGCTAGCATCCCGGGTCTTCACTGAAGGAATCAGTTCTTGGGCAAAAGGAACCAATGTGTTTCTTTTTTTTTTTTTTCTCAATCATTTCCACATGGTTTTTATTTTCATTTTAACTACCTTATAAGGAGAACACCCATTCAGCTGGGTCACCTACATAGTAAAGAAACATTTATTCTGAACAAATAAAATAAGCCATAGACTTGTAAAGGGTTTCTCTATTTCTCCAGTGTCCATACAGTGAAACCCACTTCAGTGTAACACCATTCCAACATAACCGGAATGCCTACGCCAATGTTGGACATAAAGGAGCCAGGCTCTCTGAGACTTCTTGATTTGAACTCTGACTAAAGGGATCTAAGAATGTTTATTCATAAGCCTACTAAGATACCTCCTGCCCATGACTTAATGGGAAAATTGTTCCCATGGAAACCAAGCATTAAAATGTTTCTAGTTTACCAAACAACCGTCTAGTTGTCCTGTCCCACTAGTGCCCAACCTTAACCATCCCCTCACTACCACCTGTAGCTTTATATTATTTCACAGAAATACCTCTTAAAACTTGCTTTATTTTAGAGAAATAGCCTAATTTCTAGGACAATGGAAAAACCCCACATATATAGTCCTTCCTTCCACTTAAAGTCACTTAGTGACTTAAAACAGTAATATTTTGCATATTATTTGGGGAGGGGGAGGTTGGCTGAGTGGTCCATCTCTGATCCCCCTGATATCCTCATGAGGAAGCTGAGAATTAAGACTCCTCTTCAAGATGATTCTCCACTTAGATGTCTGGTCTTGGTGCTACCTGGCCTTTCTCTTACTTCTCTCCATATGTTAGCTCACCCTCCACGTACTCTCCATGTGGTTTGGATTTTTCGTGATAGGTAGTCTTGAGGTAGTAGAACTTCTTACACGGTAGTGTAAAGTTACAAGAAAACTCATTCCAGGAAACCCAAATGGAACTGCAAGATTTCTTATGACTGACTCTCAACCACCCTGAATATTACTTGCATCATATTCTACTGATCAAAACAGTCATTAAAGCCAGTTCAGTGTCAAGAGAATGGGAGAAGTAAATTTCACCTCTCAACAGGGAAATGACATATAAGCAGAATTTCTTGGAAAGCTGGGAATGGAGCCACCATTTGACCAAGCTATTCCCCTTCTCGGTCTATTCCCTAAAGACCTAAAAAGAGCATGCTATAGGGACACTGCTACATCGATGTTCATAGCAGCACAATTCACAATAGCAAGACTGTGGAACCAACCTAGATGCCCTTCAATAGACGAATGGATAAAAAAAAATGTGGCATTTATACACAATGGAGTATTACTCTGCATTAAAAAATGACAAAATCATAGAATTTACAGGGAAATGGATGGCATTAGAGCAGATTATGCTAAGTGAAGCTAGCCAATCCCTAAAAAACAAATGCCAAATGTCTTCTTTGATATAAGGAGAGTAACTAAGAACAGAGTAGGGTCGAAGAGCATGAGAAGAAGATTAACATTAAACAGGGATGAGAGGTGGGAGGGAAAGGGAGAGAGAAGGGAAATTGCATGGAAATGGAAGGAGACCCTTAGAGTTATACAAAAGTACATACAAGAGGAAGTGAGGGGAAAGGGAAAAATAATACAAGGGGGACAAATGAATGTCAGTAGAGGGGGCAGAGAGAGAAGAGGGGAGGGGAGGGGAGGGGAGGGGAGGGGAGGGGAGGGGAGGGGAGGGGGGATAGTAGAGGATAGGAAAGGCAGCAGGACACAACAGACACTAGTATGGCAATATGTAAATCAATGGATGTGTAACTGATGTGATTCTGCATTCTGTATATGGGGTAAAAATGGGAGTTCATAACCCACTTGAATCAAAGTGTGAAATATGATATATCAAGAACTATGTAATGTTTTGAACAACCAACAATAAAAAATTAAAAAAAAAAAAGAAAAGGAATTGATGGTGGCCCTATTGGACGTACATCACCTCAGACAAAAGGACATTCATCCTCCATTAGCATTACATTTTCTACAAAGGTAGGAAAGCAATGTTGTTGATGCTTCTTCTTCTTGCAAAGTTTGTTTGAAAAGGTCTTATATTTTTCACAAAACAGCTGCACGCATGAATGTTATGACCAACAAACACCATGCTTTACTCAGAAACTCCTCCCTGCTAATAACATGTTATAAAACCAAGCTTGTCTGTTGAATATATTCTTTCCTTGAGATAAGTTCTCTTCAAGGATGCCCCTCAGTTTTCCTAAACTTCTAGAAATTTCCTCTTGCCAGGTCATTGGACATGCCTAGACGATTCCAGATTCCAAATGGTAAGTAAAAGCCTGGATTCAAACAGAGACCACTGCTATACAAGTTAGTCTTACACAGAGCCCAGCACTTGGGAGATATTTAATAAGTTAGTTCCCATTTATTCCCACCTTTGACTATATAGTTAGATCTATGTCAAGTATCAGATCATAATTCCCAATAACATTTGATAAAACAGATGCAGAGAAGTTGGGGTCTGCTCAAGTTCATATAATATATCACTCTAGGATGGAATTAAAACTTAGGCTCAGGTCTTCTGATGCTGGGTCTAGATTTCTGTTAACTTCACCAAAGATTATCAGAGCAACTTTACTACTTGAATTCAAAAGTATAAAATAAAGAATAGATTCATTAGTGAAAGAGCATCCAGAGGGTGAAATAGGGTACCAGGGTTAGTGAGGACAAGTATCAGAATAAAAGTAGGGTAAAATCACAACACGTATTCACAAGTTTTGCCTAATGTCAGTCTTATTATAAACCCAAGAAATGCTGTTCTAGAGGATTTACTCCTGCAAATACATACAAAGGATGCTCTTTTGGCTTTTAAGGCTAATAGATGATTTCTAGCCTGTGCTGCCCTCTCCAACTCCCTTTCAATTCCTCACATCCTGCTTACAGTTAATGGAATGCAAAATTCCATCTCACCCAGTTCTTCAGATCTCCCAGCAGGACGTCACTGCTGTGTATCAGTTACTAGGTGTGGGTTTCCTTTTGCACCAGCTTGTCTGCATTCCCAGTGCTGAAATGAAGATTTCCCTAAGGAGAGGGCCCAACATCATTGCCTCCTGCCTAGTCAGCTTCCACAGAATGCCTGTGGCAGCCTTTGATTCCAGTAACAACAGACTGTGTATCCATAACAGAGGCAGCAGGATGCTGTGATTTGGCCTTCTTCAACTCTGTCATTAAGCCAACACGATTTCCCAAGCTTTGCCATAAGACCCTGGTCTTTGGTGGCCCTGCCACCTGGCATATATATCAGTGTCCACAGAAAAGACTAGCCTAAATTCTCCTCTCTTTGACTCACTAGGTCCTTGCCACTGTGCTGAATAAAGCTTACTTCCTTTATTGATATAGTTGAGGGACATATGCAAAGAGATCACGTCACCTTAGGCCACAACATAGTATATCATTGGGGTGGGGGATACAAAATACGTAAATATTGGTTGGAATTATAGCATTTTTACACTATTTTGGAACAAGAAGCAAACAAATGTTTTTAATTCTCTGATGACTTCATTTTAAATTATATCATTAGTATACTATACTTATTAAAATAAACATTTTGGTCATCCAGTCATAGCAACTAACATTTCCATCACCCTAAACATTTATCATTTCTTTGGGGAATCTTCAAACTTCTCTCTTTAGTTCTTTATAAAACATTTACTATATTAATGTGAACTCTGTGTGTGTGTGTGTACATATATATATATATATATATATATATATATATATATATACAGAAATACACATGCATACATATTTACATTTTGGAATTTGGAGGGAAGACTAGTGTGAGAATTCCATCTTTGAGTTAACTGAACTTTTCCTTCCTAGGGCAATGTGAACAGTAGGATCTGGTATTATAATAAAAGTATCTACAAATTTTTTATAATAAAACTGGATATTAAATCTATTTAATATAAATGTCATCAAAGCAAGAAGCAGTTATAAGAAAAAGAAATATACTATATTTACCTATTTAAAATAGAAAGTGCTGCCAGGCACTCTGGGGCATACTTGTAATCCCAGCGACTCGGAGGCTGAGGTAGGAGGATCACAAGTTCAAGGCTAATCTCAGCAAATTAGCAAGAGACTGTCATAAAATTAAAAAGCTAAAGATGAAGCTCAGTGGCAGAATGACTCTGGGTTCAAACCCCAGCACCAAAAATATCAAATAGACAATAAATATCAGCTACATAGAATCCATTTTATTATCTTTCAAAACTGTAAATTTATTTATTGCCACTACAAAATAGTAAGGAAAAATAAGCAAATAAAACAGAGAATAAAAATCATCTATAATTACTCTGTCTTGGCATAATCACTGTAAAAGCCTTGGGATATCTATTTTTCCATGCCTTGCCTATTATGTGTTCAGTATTCTTTTTTAATATAATTGAGATCCCTGCAGTTCACAATTTTCTCTTTATACTCAATGAAGTATAAACATCTTTATATGCTGATAAATGCCTATCTATAGTTCAAAATATCATGTCTTTTAATTACAAAGGTTAAACTATATTAATTATTCTGCAAAGCTTGGCTTTGCAGTAATCAATGGCTTGATCCTGTATGTGTCCTGAAGTGATGTACTGAGAGGTCCTATGTCACCTCTACAGTGTTCTTGCCTGAAGGGATTAATCTGATCTAATCATAAAGAAACAGATTATTCTGAAATGTAGGGCATTCTTCAGGACAACTGAGTAGGACTTTTCAAAGGATTTAAAGTCATCAAAGGACAAAGCAGACAGTGTTCAAAGACTGAGAACATAATAGTCAATGCAACCAATGAGACTTCATAAGAATTTGGACCAGAAAAAAAAATGAGCCACAAAAAATACTTTAGGGCAATTTGAGTGTGTTGGCAAATGATGTTATTGAACCAATTACTGTTTTCTAAGGTGTGGTAATGTTATAGTTAAAGCTTTGTCCCAGGGTTTCATGAACTGACTTCCAGACCACTCACGTATAATCGAATCAAGCCTTTATTGAAGCACACCGGTGGCGGCTGACCAGAACATAAAGCTGTTCCCCTGATCAGCCCCGAACAATTGCAAGGGCACTCCTTATAAGCCTGAAAACCGCAAAAGGGATGTTCGGGGGTCTAGCCAATGCAAGCAAGCCAGGTTACACAAGCGGGACAGTGCAGTCAAGCGGAGGGAAGCCTAACCAATCACAGTTAGCCCAGTCACCCCAGTTACAGAAACAGAGCCCCGTTACCTTAGTTACAGAAACAATACCCCATTAGGTAGTTCCGTGTTCTTAAAGGTTTCTATAGCAAAAGGAAAAGAACATCTTGCTCCAGTCATGACT